AACTCACCAAATAAACTTAAAAAAACAAACCAAATAAACTTATAAAAACAAACCAAATAAAATTACATAAACTCACCAAATAAAACTTACATAAACACACCAAATAAACTAAGAACTTTATTCTTAGCTCACAAGCTCCTTTTAAGTTTCTTCACCTTGTTTCAATCCCCATTGGTGCTCAATCAAGTCACTTTGACGGCTTAAGTGCATGTATGGTTGTTGCATTGCAGTGTACTGATCAATGATCAATTGATTGTAACGTTCATCCATTTCCAATGGCTCGTGTAACACGGGATCTTCAGTGCAGTCATGAGCACAATAAATATGTGTTATGGAGTTGTTCATCGTGTCCGACTCGTATTCATCGATGGCATCATAATCATACTCATCTTCCACAATCATGTTGTGGAGAATGATACACGTCATCATGATGGATCGAAGAGCCTCGACATCAAACATTTTGGTAGCAACCCTCACAATCTCCCAACGAGCTTGTAGGATACCAAAACAACGCTCCACATCCTTCCTTGACCCCTCTTGACATTTTGCGAAGTGTTTTTCTTTTTCACTTTATGGATGTGGCATTGATGCTCATTTGTATTTATGGTCATTGACCCAATATGTGACTTTGTCTGTTTTTCGTTGCAGCACCTCGTCGAACACTGGAGATTGGGCAAGACATTAATGTCATTTTGAACTCCTAGAACACCAAAAAAAGCATGCCAAATCCATGTATCAAATGAAGCCACTGCTTCCAAAATGATACTTTTGGCTATTTTTCTGTCGTCATAAGCTCATTGCCACGCACTTAGACAATTTTTCCAAGTCCAATGCATACAGTTGATGCTTCCAATCGTGCCAGGAAAGTCTCGCATCTCACCCTTCTTCAAAAGCCTTCGTATGTCCATTGTCGTGGATTTTCGAAGGTACTCATTGTTGTAGAAGACTACGATTACGGAGCAAAACTTCATCAGGGATTCCAAAACAATTGATTTTCCCATCTTCGCTATCTCATCCACTTGATCTGCAAATGCTCCATATGCAAGCATCCGCAAGGCATCATTAATTTTTTGTTCAGGAAGAAGACCTACAACATGAAAAACATCTTTTTTTTTGCACAAAGTACGGATCAAGGTTGCAAATAGCAATCATGATTTTGTTGAACAAACTTCGTTGCATTCTAAAACGATGTCTAAAAATATTATCAGGAAATAAACTGTTGGGGATAAAATAATCTTCCAAGAGATCTTTACCTCGTATTTCCCTCTTTCTATCCAAGTTTGCGGCACGTCTGGGTTTGGATATCTAACCCAAAGCTTACATGACACGATGAGAATGTGATGCTCTTTGACTTCTATGTTCATCATCCTCATCCTCTTCCATTGCAAAAGCCTTATCTCGACCTTCGTCGAGATTGAACAATTCTTCCTGTTGTGCCAACAATTTTTTATGTTGCTCATCGATTTCATACAATCTCCTTGAAGAAGACATTGTACGAACTCAAGATTTAAAAGCAATGAAGAAGGATTCTGAGCTAAAGGATTGAGTTTAGTGTATGACTTAGGATGAATGTAGGCTTTATATGGACAAAAAAAGAAAGGATGAGGTTTTGGATAATGCCATGTGGCACTGCGTGATTGGTTGAAAATCTTATCAAAATTTTGGCTAAATTATTGTAAACAGATAGTGACAAATGGTGCGTCAGGATTGGTTGAAAATCATATCGGAAATCTGTCTACAAAATAGTACTTTCGGATAATGACACGTGGTGTGATAAGATTGGTTGAAAATCTTATCGAAATATTGGCTAAATTATTGTAAATAGATAGTGACACGTGGCGTGTCAAGATTGGTTAAAAATCTTATTGGAAATCTATCTACAAAATAGTACTTTCGGATAATGACACGTGGCGTGACAAGATTGGTTAAAAATCCTATCTAAAACTAAAACTTTTTTTTAAAATTATTTTGTAAAAAAATAACAATATTTTAATGGGCTGAGTGCCATCGCATTTTTTAGAGGTGGAGATGCATTTGGCCAATTACTATTTATTAGTGTCAATCACTATTCATTTGAGTGGATTAAATGGATTGGGTGCCATTGCATTTTTAGGGGTGAACTTGCTCTAAAGAAGTTGCAAATTCTCTTTCATTTTTCTTTCCCTTTGTTTTGTTGGAAATTTATTTTTGTTTTGCTGGTTATTTATTTATTTGTCTTTCTTTTTTGTTTGGTAATTTATTCTTGTTTTATTCCTATTTCCTCCAACCATTTGTTCAATTAAAAAAAAAACATTCGTTAATTTTTTGGCAGTTACTAATTAAATACTAATTATGTTTCTATTTTTTAACAAAGGATATTATCTATACTAAAGGGGTCAGGGAATGGGCTAAGCCTCACAATAAGCTAGCTGGGGGTGGGCATAAAAACCGGCAAACCGAATCGAACCGTGAAAAAAAAACACGGTAAAAAACTATATTGACAAAAAAAGTCAAAACCGGACTGAACTGCTTTTAATATAAATTATTGTTTTATTATTATTTTTATATAAATAAAACATTTTTCCAAGAAGACCATGTACATAAGCCCAATATTTTTCTTCACTTCTTTCACTCTCCTTTGTTGTTTTATCACTTTTCTCCCCTATATTATTTTTCTCCATTCTTTTCCAGTATATTATGCATTATGCATATTTTAGTTTTAGTTTTAGTTTAAGATCTACATTTTGGACTTGATATGAGCTTTTCTATCTTTTGATTTATATTTATATGTACACTTTCTATCCTCCAGTCACAAATCTTGTAGATCTGAAAACTCAAATTTACTTAACATATATATAATTTTGGTTAGAACCGTAAACCAGCATGAACCGAACCGGAACCTTCATGAACCGAACCGTACGGTTTTAGTAATAAATTTAAGTGGAACCGCACCAAACCGAACCGTTGAAATTTTCCAATTCCGGTACCATTTTGAGGGTGGAGCCGGGCCGAATCAGACCGTACCCACCCCTAAAGCTAGCAATAATGTGGTTCAAATTCACTTTTGATGAGAATCGAACCTAAGAACTCTCACTTACAAATGAAAAAGAATACCACTAAACTGTAACTAAGTGGTAATTATGTTTCTAATTCGAATTTTGAATTTTCAAATTCCTTGTTAGTTAGTATTTTTTTTTCCAGGTAAATAAATTCTTGTTATTGCTTTGAAGATAGGAATTTCTTTTCTTTTTTTTGAAAAGTTGAAGATAGGAATTGGGATTATCCTTAACACTATGTTTGGATGAGGGAAATAAACTTGAAATTTGAATAAAAGTTAGAATTTGTAAATTGACATGCACCAATTCTCTTGTTTGGATTCATAAACATAGAAATTTAAATTTATGCGTAGAAAAAAACTTGGAATTTGGGACCTCCAATTCCCAAGTTTAAATTTCATGTAAATATGTGTCATTTCCCAATTTCTATGATTGAGAACTTAAAAATAACAACTTTTGTTTTCAATTTCATTGTTCTTTTAGGCTAACCAAACAAAAAAATTCACAAATTCTAAAAAATAAAATTCCGTCAATTCAATTTCCGTCATTTTAAAATTTCTTAATAATTTTAATTTTCTTCGTTCAAACATAGTGCAATGGAGTTGCCAAAGCAGCTTTTCCAACCAAAGACTTTGGTGAAAAAGAATCCTCTTAAATTTCTTCACTTTTTCAGAAAATACCTTTTTTTGCATGTAACATGCAATTTGCACGTGTTTCACCTCTCAGGTGCGTAATTCATATTTATTTGTCCCCCCGTGTGACGACAAAAATTAAATAAAATGTTCAACAAAAAAAAAAGAAAAAGGAAAATCAAAGAACTCTGGTTATGTTAAAATAACTCAGGGTTATACACATACAAACATTAGTTTAAAATTTAGAGAACTTAACGAAACACTTCCGGTACTGTTCATTTTAATAAAAAACTACTTTTTTACTTTAAAAAGTCAATCATGGTACTATTCACTTACAACACATTTTTCTCATTTTCGTTAAAACTAAAAAATTTCAAATTATTTTTATTAGTTTTCCTTAAAATCTAAATACTTATGGTTAACTTAACTGGTGAGAATAGATGAAAAAAAATATAGTACAACAAAGTTAGGTAGGTCAAATGTTTCAAATGTTCAATTACTTTTTATTATAACAAACAAACAAAATCGTTTTAGTCATCATAATGATTTCCAATGTCTCTGACAATGCGTACCACGTATTCAAAAGCTGCAATTTTGATTTCGGTTTAAGAAAGGGATGTGCTATCAACGCACCCCTTTTTACTTATCACACACCCCTTGTTAATTTATATCTGTTGATCTTCTTCATTTCATCCGATCCGACAGTCGAAAATTAAAAGAGTAGGTAAGAAGTAAAAAATGGTATGTGGATATCACACCCCTTAAGAAACTGTAATTTACTTAGCACGCACGTGGGAATTTATTACTACAACTGAAATACAAATTTACCGCCCTTGTCTTAACATAAATACAAAATTTTAATCGTTGAACTGTCATATACTAGTAGAATGGTATGTATATTTGAAAATAACTGCCAAATTTTGCTTATAATCTATTTTCTTTGCTACATTAAACCTTATTTCCTCCTTTTCACCATATATACGCCATTGAAAATCCGAGAGAAAATATTTTGTTCCAAATACGCTTCATTGAATTTAGAGAAAGTTCGTATCTGCAAATTGAATCAAAACTCGTTATAAATGAATTCAAGCATTACCCAAGGGTTCAAACGATAACCATATACATTTTTGAGATGTGAAAGGCTTCTTCACAAAATACTTTACCAATTCTAAAAAAAATTTACTTTAAATTCCAAAAATCCGATAGTTTTTGAAATTAAAAAATTATTAAAAATGACTTATAAAGAAAAATAGCCAGTTTTGAAAAAGTAACAACCAAAAAGGGAAAAAATAAGAAGAAGAAAAGAAACGAATTATATATAAATGCTGTGAAACAACCTCAGAGTTTCATCAGTTTCTGAACCCAAAATCTACTTGGATCTCTCTCTCACTCTCTCTCTCAATCTCTCTCTCTCTCTCTCTCTCTCTCTCTCTCTCTCTCTCTCTCTCTCTCTCTCTTCTGTGTCTGTCTGCGTGCATGCAAACCCCAAAAGAGCTCCTCCAATGAAGCAGACCAGAGCACGCCAACCTACCACCCATGCCGTCAATCCCCACTCCTTTCTATGACGAAACGACCCTTCTCCTCCCTTACCACCGCCACCTTCATCATCATCACCGCCACCATCCTCTTCGCCGTTATACCACCACAAGCTCATGCCTTCGGTTCCGGCTCCACCCTTGCCGTTATCTCCGCCTCCGGCACCGTCTGCGGTGTCGTGTCAGACCAACCGCGGCAGCGCATCGTCTGCTACCGCCGCGGACAAACCGTCGCAGTCGAGCCCAACATCTCCTTCTCCGCCATCTCCGGCGGACGGACCTCTCTATGCGGCCTCCGCTCTGGCGGATACAGCATCCTCTGCTGGGACGACATCGCCTCCCAAAACTCCACCTTCCCATCCAAACGTCTTTACTTCAACAAAACCGTTACGTTAGAAAATCTCTCAGTCGGCGACGACCATATCTGCGCCAGAACCGTCGTCACAGGCACCATAAAATGCTGGCGGGTCGACGACGTGTCCGAATTACCATCTGGGTCGGACCAATTCTCCTCGATTTCATCGGGGTCGGGTTTCTCTTGCGGAATTTCCAAAGCCACCCTCCGGGTTCGATGCTGGGGCAGAGCAACTTCAATGGCGGAAGAAAATACAAAACCGGGTTCGGAAACATGACAATGGCGACCATCACAGCCGGCGGCTCGCACGTGTGCGGGATCAACACCACAGGACTTATAGTCTGCCGGGGAAGCAATGGCGCCGGCCAATGGAACGTCCCTCCTGGCTCGCCTTTCGAGTTCTCTGCTCTGTCCCTCGGAGTAAACCACAGCTGCGCAATCAGAACTTCAAATAAAACGGTCATTTGTTGGGGAGGAGGAGGTCAATTTGCATTTAACCAAACAAACGGGGTGTCTTTTGAAGTAATTGCTTCTGGGTCGGATTTCGTTTGTGGATTAACCACCAGGAATTTTTCGATTGTTTGTTGGGGTACGGGCTGGCCCAATCTCTCCGGTTTGAAATCAGGGGAGGAGCTCGAATTGCCCGAAATTCTTCCCGGTTCTTGTGTCAATTCCTCCTGCGGTGAATGTGGAATTTACCCTCAGTCCCAAAGGCTCTGTTTTGGTGCAGACAACATTTGCAAGCCCTGTTTGCCTCCAATTTCATTGCCACCACCAGCATTTCCACCGCCGCCGCCGTCGCCGCAGCCGCCACCGCCCCTGCCGTCAAGGCTGCCGCCCGCGGCATTGACGACGGGTTTATTGATGTTTGCCATTGTCGGTTCTGTCGGAGCTTTTGCAGGTATGTACTGTTATTTATTGTTTGTGGACCGGCGGTTGTTTTGGGGACAAAAAGATTCACAATTCAGTTCAGCCGACAATTACTAGAGATGCTAGCTCAAACAATGGCAATGGGATAACGTCAAACAATAGTCCCCCGTCGAGATCCTCCACCATCCGCCGCCAGGGCTCGAGGATCATGAGGCGGCAGAGGAGCGGAACATCCTCGAAGCATGCAGACAGGGCGGAGGAGTTTTCCCTGTCCGAGCTCGCGGCCGCCACCAATGACTTCTCAATGGAGAACAAGATTGGCGCCGGAAGCTTCGGAGTTGTATATAGAGGCAAACTGCCTGACGGCCGGGAAGTTGCGATCAAGAGAGGCGAAACCGCCCCGAAGATGAAGAAGTATCAGGAGAAGGAGAGCGCATTCGATTCGGAACTTGCGTTCTTGTCGAGAGTTCATCACAAACATCTCGTGAGGCTTGTCGGATATTGCCAAGAGAGGGACGAGAGGCTTTTGGTGTACGAGCACGTGAAAAACGGTGCGCTTTATGATCACTTGCATGACAAGAACAATGTGGAGAGAAGCAGTAGTTTGTTAAATTCGTGGAAAATGAGGATCAAGGTTGCATTGGATGCCTCCAGAGGCATTGAGTATCTGCACAATTACGCCGTGCCGCCTATCATTCATCGAGATATAAAGTCATCGAACATCTTGCTCGACGCGAATTGGACCGCGAGGGTGTCTGATTTTGGGTTGTCGTTGATGGGGCCGGAGTCAGAGGTGGATTTTAGGCCAACGAAGGCGGCAGGGACGGTTGGCTACATTGATCCGGAGTACTACGGACTCAACTTGTTGACCGCGAAGAGCGATGTCTATGGACTCGGCGTGGTGCTACTGGAGCTTCTGACGGGGAAGAGGGCAATATTTAAGGATGGTGAGGATGGGGGGACGCCCATAAGCGTGGTGGATTTCGCAGTGCCGGCGATTATGAAAGGGGAGTTGGTGAGGGTTTTGGACAAGAGGGTTGGGCCTCCGGAAGTGAATGAATCGGAGGCGGTTGAGCTGGTGGCGTATACAGCAATGCATTGTGTGAGTTTGGAAGGGAAAGATAGGCCGACGATGGCGGACATTGTGGCGAACTTGGAGAGGGCGTATGCCCTGTGCGATGAAAGCCCTGGCAGCATCTCAAGTGGTGCAATCTCCATTGTCTCAGCAGAGTAAGAGTGAGTAAAATGTGCTTCCTTCCCGTTAAAGAAAGAATAGAAAAGAAAAGTTGAATTATTTCTTCAATTTTTGTCAAATTTTTGGGGATAAATTGGATGGATTTAAATAAAAGATTTACCATTGGGGGTGTAAAAAAGACTAAAGATTTACGGGTTTCCATCTAACCTTGCTGTAGTGTGTAACATCTTGTAAACACCAACAGCTAGAAATATACAGCCTTTGCTTGCAATTTTCAAGTGTTGCCTAACTTTTCTCCCTTCCCTACATTTTACTTCTTCTTTGTGTGCTAATGCATTTAACTAGGGTTAGATCGTCAATGGAGTCAATCAAATATTGTCATGCCCTTAGTTATTTACCACATAAGTTTAGTATTGTTCGTAATATGAATGAATTGTCGATGATCGATATGTTTGTCGATATTAAATAATCGGATCAGCCAGCTAATCAGGCGATCTAACCCAAGTATTTGTGATGTGATTGAACAAAGAATAATTCATTTAGGTGGGTGTCCTTGTTAACACGAAGTCGCATGACAACAATGTTGTTTGGTAAATGAGTGGCCAAATGAGAGTCAAAGAAATGCGACACAAAAGTTTGGCTTCCCAAAAAACCATAGGGATTCCCATGATAAATTATAAAAGTGCTTTATTTTCTTTCTGCTTTTTGTGAAGAGATCCAAAGATTACAAAGCCTGCGGTTTGTACTTGAGTTGAGAGCAGTAGCCGCTACAAGTAGAGCCTCCAGTGTCGCCAAATATTATTAGAAAAATGAGAAAATATTATTACCAGAGCCTATAACTTTGAATCACAGTTTACATGTACGCCAGTTTGACTTGGAAATTCTAGCAAGGCTGCCAAACTGGAGAGACACTTGCCAAATTAGATACGCCCAAGTGTCTCTTAGATGTTCGACACGTGTAGGGTTAAGATCCCATTCTCCTTCTCCATGCATAAATATATACAATAAAACAATTGACGGTATACTCGTGTAATACATGTTTTTTTCTTCTTTTTTTTCTCCATATATGAGACACCACTATTACAGCATTGCAAACCACGAATGCATGACTTTGTGTTTAACTTTTTAATATGTCGGAAGTGTTGCTAGTTTGAGACACTACTACAATGATTTTTCTAGTGTAAGTCTCTCTACAAACCTAAGTTAAAGAAAAACCTGAAGAATCAAATTCTACACTTTAATATGAAAGCATAAACATTTATTGATTAATATGTGCATGCTACTGTTATTTTTGTAAGCAATAAATATGTTATCAATGCAGCCAGTCATGTCAAATAACCATGAACATCTTTATGATAATAAATAATATTAGGAGGTGTTTGGACGATGGAATTTTAAGTATCACTGGATTTAGTCTACATGAGACAAAGAGATTTGGAAGCGATTAGATGCAAACATAATGAATGGAGTCATCAACAATCTTTTGTTTATTGGCTTTGTAATGCTCATGTAAGTGCATCTTCAATCCATTTGTTTAATGTTTTGTATGACATTTTTAACTAATTTAGCCTGAATTGCTAGGAACTTGAAAATCTCTCGTCCTACACACCATTCATTTTTGCATTTCCGTTGTCATAGTATGCACTCATCCGCTTGTTTATGTTCTCTAACTTTCTTTTCATCAATCCAATCCAATGATTAGAAGATAACACTCAAAAGCGTACCAAATTTGAAAAATTGATTGGCAATCGATAGGGGAAAAAGTCAAGATTTACTAACTCTCTTGTGTGTGGCCTTGCGAATTGGGAGTTGGGAGTGGGAGCAGTTGGAGTGGTGGTGCCTAAATACGTCTATGTTAATGAGGGTGACATACGCTTTTAAACAAAATCGAGTAATTAGGCCCACTGAGGGAGCACGGAAATTCCCAGAAAATTCATTCCCCTTTTCCATCATTTTTTTTTGTTTTAATTCATACAAAAGGAACAAAAATAATTACATAAAATATAAAATTATTTTTATATTTTATGATGTTAATTCTCTCCTCTCCTGCCGTCTCATTGAATACCTTTATATTTAAAAGTTCATAATTAAGTCACGTCAGCATTTTATGTTGACTTCTCTATAGAAAAAAAAAAACAAAAAAGAAGGTAAGAGAAAAGGAGAGGGAACGAAATTTGAAGGAGAGAGAATTGTACTCCATTGGTTTGAGCAACGCCATTAGTTTTTCGTCCACAATAAAAGGTTTTGAGTGCCAATAAGGACTGGAAGTTTCATTGCATCGGAATCTTAATTCAAAGGCCAAAGCTCCAATTCAATCAACATCCAAGAACCGATGCCCCAATTTTCTCAACTAAAAAAAAAAAGGTTCAACATACATTCCACATGTTGTAAGAAGGGTTCATTTTTTCTCTTTGTAATTCTTATTTCCTAAGCAACAGAGGACCAAATCAAGCTTGTGAAAATGAGCCATCACTCCGATTTCTGTTTGAATGTGTCATCAGCGTCGTCGAGATCATCAAGTTTATCGGCTTGAAGGACTCATATTAGTACAAACAAGGCCAAAATTCCGGCTACATTCTGCAGAAAGCACTTGGTGAGGCCATTTTCTTGATCGTGAGGCCATTTTATTGGCGTATATAATGTATTACCTTTATCGAGGTTTTCCTTGGTTAGATTCGGGGGTATCTTCTTTGTCGATTCTCTTCAACTTCATTCATCCAATCATTAAGCCGGAGGAGACCCTTGTATCCGTAGTATGATACAGCAACTAAAACCACCAGGAGGGTGAAAAACTAGAAGACACCGTTTCACGTTGGAAATAATTTTCTGTTTGAAAATGAAGAGTTACAGTTAGCAAGTGAATAATGAGGCAGTTCAAAGTGCTCGGTCTTTTCTTTCAAGGAAATACATACTTGCAGTGTCGAGGTTTGTGTCACTTGTTGCAACCGCTCACGCCTTTTCTTCCGCTTTGGTCCTTGCCTATCATTATCTGATTCCTTCACCTTCAAGACACAAAAAAATGGCATTAGAATGACAGCAGCAAGTTTCAAATCATAAAAGTCTGTTTGAATTTCAATATCTTACCTCCACAGATTTAGGTCTACGCAACTGTAATTCTGAATCATTAACCTTTTGTTTGCTTTTGCAGTCGGAATTGCAAGGAATGAGTCCAAGTCCAAATTGATTCTTAAATACATCTTTGGGATCAGAACCAGCATCGCGATAGGCTGCCTGAACATTGTGACATAACCACTCCTTTTTCAAGCTCTGGCATCCACAACGGACAGTAACCTTTGCATATAAAGTTAGAATCAAGTCAGAAAGCTAAAGAGTGCGTGAGACGATAATTCATGCAATAACTTCACTTTCTTTTCCCTGAGCTAACAAACATGAAAATTTTCAATAAAACTTATATTTTATGGTAATACAAGAATTATAACCTTTTTAGAGCACTTTTCGGGTGATGAACATTGACCAGGATGACAAATCTCTGGGCACAGATGAGTACAATACGGCAACTTTCTGCATAATGAACAGCACCACTAAGATCCTCTCTTAATTCAAAAGGGAAGCAAATAGTAGAGAGAACTGGAATAATACTTAAAGGTGTACAACCGAACAAGCAAAAGAAAAACATGTATTTGTATTACCTGTGACAAGGCCCCTTACATGAACGAGCAGCCATTTGCTCCTTTTCGGACAAGCTGTTAAAATATATGCACTCAAAAAACATGAACCATGGAACCACAGTGACACGATCGCTTTACAAGCACCTTGCAAGGAGGGCAGTCTCCAGGATGACATGGCAAAGGACAAGGATGAGGACATGCAGGCTCCCTCTCCTGAATGAACACATTTTCAGCAATCATGCAACGTTTAGTTTCAAAAGTACTAAAAGAAAGTCGAAGATAATAATTGTAGTAAAATTAAGGTAAAGATCAGTTTTCATGGAAGGTGGAGGATCCTAAAGAGAATCATCAGAGCAGTCTAATATGAAGGAATTAATAACACCTTTTTGCAAGGAAGTTGACACTTCTCACAAGGCTCACTTCTTGCTTGTCGGACTGATGGCACCGTTTGATTCTTGAGGGGGTGACAAGTTTTTGTGCAAAAGTGATTACCACAAGGTAGAGGATTTCCGCACAAGTTTTCGCAGGAAAAATAGTGTTTTATCTGAGCAGATCATCTGATCCAAGGCACAAACAAATGATAAGTGGAATTCAGGAGAAAATATGAGGCCAAGTTGATATAACTAAGTCAAGTAGTTTGAGTTGAAATTCTGTGGTATCAAACACACCATTTTATCTGCCCCGATGTGCTGGCCAACACATGACCTCCAAACAAGTTCTGGGCATGGAGGGCATGGAGATCCTGGAGTGGATTCACTCTGATGAAAGGATTTCTTCTTCTTAGGTTTCAACGTAAATTCCGGATTCGGAGGAGGTTTAGGACCATGACACCTGAAGATTAAAATAAATGAATTTACTGAAATTAGTTGTATAAAGGAAGTATGTTAGAGATATTTTCCAGAGAATAGCTCAAAATCAAAATAATGCATTGAAAAAATCCTGCAAACCTTAGCTTGCAATTGTGGCCACATGGGTATTCTTCCTCACAAAGTAATCTACACGGGTGGCAGGCTCCATAATGGCATTTATGTGGCTGGGGAAAGAACAAAAATAATTGTCATTACCATAACACAAGGCACTGTTAAATAGGGGTAGCATTTATCTACTAACTGCACATTCATGATAATGGTCATGCTATAATTTTAAGAACCTACATGTATGTTCCAATAAAGCTCAAGTGTAGATCCTTGACACAAACTTTGAGACAAACTAGGCCAAACCAACCAACTGTACCTTGGAATTTGGTCCATGCCTGCATAAAGGAGTAATAGGGCATGGCTTACGACATCTGGGAGGCTTTTGATCCATCTCAGTACCGCAAGGAACCTGAATTCAAAATCCATTTGGAAAGTGGAAAATACATCTTCAGACCAATTTGGCCAAGGAACATAAGAAAACTTTCGTTGTGCAACATGCTATGAACCAGGTCTTCTTTTCTAACGATATTAACCCAGAAAGTTTTTTAAAAAAAATATCAGAAAAGATGTTCACTCATAAAGAACAAAAATTGCAATCCTTTTGCAGCAGTCACAAGCAACACCTCTGTT